TCTCACGTTATCCACACACTAGTGATAGCCAGGCCTGACTACTACAATGTACTCTGCGTGGGGCAGTGTTAGAAACTGAGACATGAAAGCTAGGAGCTAAATGGCACCTTAAACCGAGGTTGTGGGTGCAACCATGGAATGTGCAGGCACACTTTTTTAATATATAACAAGAATACAGTGCTAAAAATGAATGAACTGCAGCTAAAATATTATGGTTATTTTTCACATGGTCTAGTCCTTCCCCTGCCCACCCCCCTAATATTCTTAAGAGGGTCTCTTCTCCAGTCTTTGCAGAGTAACTGGAAGTGGGGAGGCAGAAAAAGGTCCTTTTCCCTTTCCACTCTGCAGTTTTAATTGGAAATCTTAGGCGCCTTATGGAACATATTATATCTATATTGGACCAATGCCACTGATTACAATGGCATTTCCAGACCTAATTTAAAGTGCCGGTGATGAACTTCAAAGCCCTGAAGAGTTTGGGACCCAGTTATTTAAAGAACTGTTTAAATCAGCCAACCCATGCCTTAAGATCTGCTTCATAGACCTGCCAACAAAGAAAATTAGGCTGGCAGGCACATGGAATAGGGCCTTTTCGCTGTTCAAACCAGAGAAGCCCATCCCTCAATCCTTACAAGTATTGTGAAGACACAACTTTTTCTCATGGCATTCAGTGGTGAACTGTAACCTGAGATGTCGAAATGGTGTTGTGATCTTGTTTCGTATGTTTAAATTACACTGGGCTATTTCCCCCCCCCCCCTTTTGCTGGCTTTTATTGGTATTAAGAAATAGATGTTTTAAGTGGCTTTGAATTCTGTTTTTATTGGTTATGTTTTGATGTGTATTTTGTAACAATTTTGCGAAGAATGTCTGTTGAGATGCAGGTAATGTTAAAAAAGAAACAAATGAAAACCTTGTTCCTGATGAGTTCCAACCACGGGCAGTCTATGGCAAGCCAGTCATGTGCATCCACTGATAAGCATATTATTATTATTATTATTATTATTATTATTATTATTATTATGCCATTGTAAATAATAATAATAGTAATAATAATAATAATAATAACTATAATAATAAAGTTAAAGTACCTTGGGTACTTTCTAATTTCAGTGGCTTTTCATCATAGCAGCAATAAATAGGAATTTTATATCTTTTATAAAACACATTATTTAAGAGAGTCACTTTCTCTAACATGAAACCAATGTTAACACAACTGGGAATTTAAAATTAACATAACTCTTAGATAATTTGGGTTTGGACATGGAGCTGAGGAAAGAAAATATATCGCTGGGTAGCTTCGCTATCATTTAGCGAATGCTCGAAAAACATTTGTAGTGACATGTCAGAATCTGAATCCTGCCCAAGAAAAGCTCACTATTAATGAGGACACATCTGGGAGTCCACAGATTCAGGTTTCCCCCTGGTGCCACTGGGGACTGAAGTGGTCTTTATGGTGGGAGTGATCTGAATGAAGTTCTCTCTCTTCACAGACATTCCGGCCTGCAGCAATGTTGGTGGAACGCTCCACAGATTATGGTCAAACCTGGAAAGTGTTTAGATATTTTGCGCAAGACTGTGCTACTTCTTTCCCTGATATTCCTTCGAGGCCAGCCACCACTGTTGGAGATGTTGTTTGCGACTCAAGATATTCGGATATCGAGCCCTCCACTGAAGGGGAGGTATGCCTGTTCTTTGAGTTCATTTCATCGTAAGGATTTAGTCTTAATGTTGATTTCTGCTTCAGTGGTGTAGTCCTTAGCTATGCATTTCTTATGTAAGAACATATTCCAGTTACCGTATTTTTCTGTGTATAAGACGACATTTTTTCCTTAGAAATAATAGGCAAAAATTGTGGGTTGTATTATACACGGATAGCAAAGGAGGGACAGGCGATTGGTGGCAGCAGCCAGCAGGAGATTGGGAGCAGCAATTGGGCATGTGATTGGTTGCTGCGGCAAGGCCTGCTGGCAATTTGCTGTGGCTGTGGCAATTGGGCGTTGATTTTTGGCGGCTAGTGTACAGACGATTGGTGGCCATGGCAATATGTGCGATTTTCACTGGCGGGCATGCTGTAGAGCGATTGGCGGCTCAGTAACTCTGGGCAATCCCCACCCCAAAAAGCTGAACAACTCTAGGCAATATCTCCCCAATTTTTTTGTTGTGGTCCCCCAAAATAAGGTGCATCTTATACATGGGGGCATGTTATACACGGAAAAATACGGTAAGTCATTTACTTTTACAATGACAGTATAAATCTTCATTGCATTTCCACAGGTTGTTTTTAAAGCTCTGGATCCCAGCTTTGAAATAGAAGATCCCTACGCCCCATACATCCAAGGTAGTTTGGAGTTTCATAATGCCTTTTAAAATTCTTTTGCTTTCATACAAAATACTAATGCAGAAATAGCCAAGATCCAGATATTGATGGTCTCGAACTCTGATCTCCCCTGACCACTGGCTAGGCTGCCTGGGGCTGATAGGAGTTGGAGTCCAACAACATCTGGAATAATACCACCTTGGCTACCCCTAAATGTATACTGTCATGGCAATCTGCTGCCTTCAGCGAAGATTGACATGTTTACATCTATGGTAGAGCTACTATACTTGGGTATTTTAAGTGGAAAGGGCCAAAGCTCAGTAGCAAAGGATGCTTTACACTGGGTGTGATGAACCTTTAACCCTCCAGATGTTGCTAAACTACAACTCCCATCATCCCTGGCCATTGGTCATGCTTGCTGTGGCTGATGGGAGTTGTAGTTCAGCAACAAGTGGGCCAAATTTTCCCTACACCTGCTTTACACATAGAAAGTACCTAGTTGAATTTTGTGATGGAGCAAGGTGGAAAGGGTGGAGAAGACTCTGGAGGGCCATGGGCCATCTTAGGCATGGTGGGGGCAAATGTCTGACTTGGTATATAAGGCAGCATTGTACGTTCACATTGTTAGCAAATCACATAAATAAAACACACGGTTCAGAGAGAAAAGGGGAAAAAACCACTTTACTGCTCAAAACTGAACAAAAACGGCGTGGAACTTGAGGAGAAAGAAGCAGAGAGGTCTTGCCTTTCTCAGTTCAGACCTTGTACATAGCAGGGAGACATCCAATCAGAACATGCGCTACCTCAGCAAAGACCATGCCACTCTGCCTGGTTGCTAAGCAACACCTCCGCCTCCACCCTCTAATAACAGAATTAACCCTTAAGTCATACCCTGAATGATCTCTGCTGTTGTGCTTGAATTGCATCAACTCAATGTTGAGGCCAATTAACCAATTATTTCTTGTCCTTGCTCACAGAGCTTATTACCTTAACAAACCTGAGAATAAACTTTACTAAGCTTCACACTCTTGGAGATACTTTACTCGGACAAAAGCGGCATGATCCTCTGGAAAAATACTACTATGCGCTTTACGAGATGATAGTTCGCGGAAGCTGTTTTTGCAATGGTCACGCCAGCTACTGTGGCCCAGTGCAAAATCTGAGGGGTGATGTTTTCCATGAGCCTGGAATGGTACGTCACAAATCTTCTAATTCTTGACACTTTATTAGAGGCAAAAAAAATCCAGCTTCTGTAAGGTACTGCAGAGATATTCCCAAGAGTAATTAGATCATATTTGGCTAATAGCAGGGAAATGCCACAGCTGTAATTATGCGGATATAATGCAGTTAATAGCCAGTGCTGTGTGTAGACTTGAATTGTTTATAGATAAATGCAATAATTCTTAACTTGCCTAGAATAGCTTGTATAAGAAAGAAAGAGCGAGGAAGTGACCAGTGATTTAAATATGTAAAAATTATTCCTCTACAAATGCAACCTGCAGCAAAATGTTCCTGCGTGAAGTGCTCCTGTTCATGGTGCCAGCCAGCCAGTCACGAATGCCCTCTCCCAACATACTCCATTCGATTAATTAAATTTTCCTGTTCCCTTCTGTAACACTACTACTAAAAGTAAGATTGTGTCTGCACTATTCCTTTGAAGCACATTGAAAGCCTATTTCTCTACTCCCCCACCCCCTGCCAAATTCTGAACACTATAATTTTACCCCTCACAGAGTTACAGTTCCAGCAACCCATAAAATACTACAGTGCCCAGAATCCTTTGAGGAGAAAATGTGCTCTGAATGTGGTTTAAAAGCATAGCATGTATGAAGCCTAAATCGGCATTCTGTGGGCCCTGATCATGCTTGGTTTTCATTGGACTGCTTCCCCCAACACCACCATTTTGTACTTCTACAAACCTCAGGGGGGTTTCTCCAACCTTGCTGACAATGACCCTTTTTTGTATGTGTTGATGGCCAGGTCAGATCAGAAGAATCTTTATTTTCATCAGCCACTAGCCATAGCAATAAAGTAAAAAAAAAAAATGTACTGAAGATAGAGGTAGAAACTTAACTATACAAAATACATTTTGGAGGTTTACATCAATAAGGTGAGCAGTTCCCCTTTTAGCTGCCAGAACTGAGAGCTGACTGTGATCCAGCAGAGATCTTGGAATTCCCCAATTATGATGCTGCCTATGTGAGTGTAGATTGGACTGATTACCTTAGGAAAAAGTTGCTTTTATAAAAAAGACGATAAAGATTTGGATAAGAAGCAGTGAACAGTATGCGACAAACATAATCCACAAGGTTCTTCACCCTGGGAAACCTTCCATTTTTGTGGGCGAGAAAAATTGGTGCAAATCCTTGTGGATGTCTGAGAGCACTGCTGCTCAATTGCCAAGATCATGTCGCTTGGATAGATGTCTCTTGCTCAGAAGATGTGTTGTGCAACACTGGAACACTTCTGTTGAAGCCTATCTGAAGGACCATATCTTTGAGAAAAAAACTCAACAACTTTGGGGGGTAAAATAATAAAAAAACTCAACTTCAATCCTTAAAAAAGGTCAACAACTTTGGTTGGCCCTTTGGCCCTTCACTTCATCAAATCTGGCCCTCTTTGAAAAAAGTTTGGGAACCACTGAGCTAGCTAGTCCAACCCCCTCAATGTAGGCACATGCCGCTGTCCCATTCGGGGATCGAACCTGCAGCCTTGGTGTTCTCAGCACCACTCTCTAACCAACTGAGCTATGCACACCCAGTTAATTTCTGCAGGACATGGACAAGAGACATTTCTGTTGAATCACATCCCAGGAAAGAAAAGCACGTGTGATAACTGTGTGTTTTAAATTTGTTGTTGACATGCTGCAGGTCCATGGGAGCTGCCTCTGCCAGCACAACACAGACGGCTCGTCCTGTGAGAGGTGCAAAGATTTCTACAACGATGCTCCCTGGAGGCCAGCAGAAGGATCGCAGGAAAATGCTTGCCAAAGTACCTCAAAGTGATTTACTTCGTTGTTATCAGTCTTGCAAGTAGCAATTGGCCATCGCCGTGCGGTGCTTGGAAGTGCTGTGCATTGATACGCTGAACTCTCTGTTGAAAGTGCCTCTCCACTTAAGAGCTATCCACGGTTCCTCATGCAAAGCTATTGAAGCTAGAGTAATAATAATAATAATAAGGCAGTCAGCAGGCAGGTAGGGTCTCAGCCTACGTACCAGATGGAGCTGGTAAACAGCTGCCCTGGGCACAGATTTGACCTGCGCCTCCATGGACAGCTGTGAGTCCAAAATGACTCCCAGGCTGCACACCTGGTCCTTCAGGGGCACAGTTACCCCATTCAGGACCAGGGAATCCTCCACACCTGCCCGCCTCCTGTCCCCCAAAAACAGTACTTCTGTCTTGTCAGGATTCAGCCTCAATCTGTTAGCCGCCATCCATCCTCCAACTGCCTCCAGACACTCACACAGGACCTTCACCGCCTTCACTGGTTCTGATTTAAAAGAGAGGTAGAGCTGGGTATCATCCGCATACTGATGAACACCCAGCCCAAACCCCCTGATGATCTCTCCCAGCGGCTGCATGTAGATGTTGAAAAGCATGGGGGAGAGGACAGAACCCTGAGGCACCCCACAAGTTAGAGCCCAGGGGTCTGAACACTCATCCCCCACCACCACTTTCTGAACACGGCCCAGGAGGAAGGAGCGGAACCACTGTATGACAGTGCCCCCAGCTCCCAGCCCCTCGAGACGGTCCAGAAGGTATGGTCGATGGTAGAATTCAGAGTCTGTTTTTCATATACTTGGATGAACATACCGTTAAGGGATTGGGTTCACGGTGTCCCTGTTCCTGTCTACATCATACGTATGCCTCTGTTTTTGTCTTCTGTTTCAGAGTGTGAGTGCAATGGTCATTCTGAAAGCTGCCACTTTGATATGGCCGTGTACCTTTCTAATAACCGCATCAGTGGCGGGGTATGCGAAGATTGTCAGCATAATACCATGGGGCAGCACTGTGATCGCTGCAAGCTTTTCTTTATCAAGACCCAGAGAGGACAATTTCGGACCCTCGTGCATGTATCCGTAAGTGTGTGACCTTTCCTAGATGATGACCCATAGAGCTGGATTCAGGTCTCAGTTAGTCGAATGCCATTCCTACTGAAAGCAACGATTTACTCGTCCCATTGATCTCGATGGGATCTAAATTCAGTTTGCACAGTCTGGATCCAACTCGTGTCATTTGCTTAGGTAAAGGGACCCCTAACCATTAGGTCCAGTTGTGGCCGACTCTGGGGTTGCGGTACTCATCTCGCTTTACTGGACAAGGGAGCCGGTGTACAGCTTCCGGGTCATGTGGCCAGCATGACTAAGCTGCTTCTGGCGAACCAGAGCAGCACACGGAAACGCCATTTACCTTCCCGCCGGAGCGGTACCTATTTATCTACTTGCACTTTGACGTGCTTTCGAACTGCTAGGTTGGCAGGAGCAGGGACCAAGCAATGGGAGCTCACCCCATCACAGGGATTCGAACCGCCAACCTTCTGATCAGCAAGTCCTAGGCTCTGTGGTTTAACCCACAGCGCCACCTGCGTCCCAAATCAAGTATTTCGTATCGGTGATCCAAGATGCTAAACAACAGGGGCCCAGACCAGCAAGTTGTACACGAGCTGATTTAGAAAATGTGGGAAATCTGAACTTGATTAGGAATGATCAGGCACATATGCAATGGGAAACACCTCTGCTTTTAAAGACCTTTTAAGATGCAGAGTACCAAAAAATGAATTCTGGGAGAAAGACATAGGACAACATCCCCTCTAGCCATGAGCGGCCAACGCAAGTGGAAAAATTCTAGAGTGGGGCATGGCTCCATCATAACACAGCTTCTTCTGGTTGCCCCATATTTCTAGTGCCGCTTCTAGAGCCTTTTCTGAGCCTTTTCTGCCATTTGTGTTACGAAGAGTTGCGGTCTTCCAGGGTTCTTTGTTGCACATGGATCCTCCATAAATAGAAAAGGCTCCCTGCTACAGAACACAGGTAAACTGGAAGGAGCTGTGCGATGGAAGAAGCTAAAGATGCATTCTCATCCCATCTCTGTACTTATATTGCTCCTTTGTGGCTGTATAGCCTGAATAGGGCTCCTCTTTCCTTAAGCCAACAAGGTAGGCCCTAAACATGGCCCATATATTTCATTCCACACTCAAATCTTTTTTTCTGGCAAATTATCCCTGTTTCATCATATTCATCCTGTTTGGATTTGGAGGTCCGACTCCACAGGAGTATAAAAATGTGTACAATTTGCACTACTTGTAATTGTGCTGTTTCGTATTCTCTTACAGTCAAGGAGTCGACTGCTCTGTGATACAGTGGTACCTCAGGTTACATAGGCTTCAGGTTACATACGCTTCAGGTTACAGACTCCGCCAACCCAGAAATAGTGCTTCAGGTTAAGAACTTTGCTTCAGGATGAGAACAGAGATCGTGCTTCAGCGGTGCGGCAGCAGCAGGAGGCCCCATTAGCTAAAGTGGTGCTTCAGGTTAAGAACAGTTTCAGATTAAGTACGGACCTCCGGAACGAATTAAGTACTTAACCCGAGGTACCACTGTATTAGTTTCAGACCCTTTCCCTAGGCAAACGTATATTAAATTTGAGCTTTTCACTAAAAGGGTATAGGGGTGAGTTTAGCCGTATCAAGGCTGACTATTGCAATGACTCGCGAACATTTCCGGCCTGTGAATGCTTCCATTTAACTGCTTTCCACTAACATCTGTGACTGCCTATCTGTCCATAGCTTGTGAATGTGACCCTGAAGGTACATTGTACAATGGGCTGTGCGAGGATCGTACAGACCCATTTCTTGGAACCATTGCTGGCCAATGCCACTGCAAGGAAAACGTCGAAGGAGTTCATTGTGACAAGTGCAAGCCAAACTACTATGGGCTGAGTGGAAGTGATCCTCTTGGCTGTCAGCGTATGTTTTTCTTTCTTTCTTTCTCCTTCCCCTCCTCCCCATTAAAGGCTTTGAGTATCAGAACACACCTGCCTTAAAACTGTGGCTCAGTCTGTACATCACATTAAGCTGTAGTTTGAAACAAATCTTGGTTCAAGGTGTTGGCAAATGCAAGCATTCTGGTGAACGCTGCTTAACGTTCGCGTGGTATTCCTCCCCTGCTCCTGCAGGAGAAACGCAAACTGCAAGCCCAGGTCAAGGCAATGTGAGAAGCCAGACTCTTGCTTGTTTCATTGTGGTGTAGCAGGAGCACCACATGAACATACTAGTATGCAGCTTGTTCGCATTAAACTATGGCTTGCTGCAAACTATGGTTTAACCAGGCCATAATCATTTCATTCGTTCAGTACTGCAACCAAGGGATTGTAGAACTTTTTTTTCCCCTTAAAGCAAACGCTGTATTATAAAACTCAGAGGAAATGAAGGTGGGAAAGGATCTTTTACATCCCCTAGCTGGGCATTTTACCCTAGCTGCCGATTGCAAAAGTGTCAGAAATGCATAACAAATGGAAGTCCATTGTATTCCATGGCTTTTTCAAAACTATATATTGTTATGCACACCCGTTTCTTGAGTGGTAAGAGAGGTCAGGTGTCCTGCCAGCACATCCCTTGGGATTTGTGTCCCTGGAATAAAGGTTGCTGGAGGCAGAGGGTGTTTTCCGCCTTAGAAGGTTTATTTCTACTGAGGGCTCATCCCCGCTGCCTGTGAAGGGAGCCTCACAGAGATGGCGATTCTGCTTTGTGTATTTTCAGCCTGCAGCTGCAACCCTTCAGGAAGCTTGTCTTTCTCTGATTGCGACCCAGTGACTGGAGAGTGTCTGTGCCAGCGGTTTGCCACTGGGCAACATTGCGAGGAATGCCCTGTAGGTACCTGCGAGAGGTTCGGAGACAGTTACTTCAGTATTCTGCGTTGACAAAAGTTCCCGTGGGTTTGTCTTTTACCTTTTGAAAAATCTCTTCCGCTGTGGAAGTGATGAAGCAAAGGTCAAAGTGGCAATCCATGGTATTCAGCTGAGAATTCTTTGTCTTTTACAAATTGCTAAGGAAACAGGGATCAGAGTTAGTGTACTGCCATAGGGAGAACCCAAGAAACATGGCTTGCTGCTAGGTTACAGGCCCAGGAAAAGCCCATATGGGTTTTGGACGTGCCACTTTTGGAGAGGGTGGGAGTCCATTCTAGGACTGAAAGCAGGGAAATTCAACCCAACTCTCTACTTAGCCTGTTTCCATTTTTGAAGCAAGTGCTGCCCACCTGCACCCCTTTCCACGTTAATCTGTTCATATGCTCAATGTTCCTTAGCAGGTGTAGGGGACCTACCATATTTTTCGCTCCATAAGACGCACCTGACCATAAGACGCACCTAGTTTTTAGAGGAAAACAAGAAAAAAAATTATTCTGAATGAAACAGTGGGTGCGTGATTTTTGTGGTTCATGCTGTGGCCATAGACATGTGCTCTGATGGTGAGTTTGGGGTAGCCCAATGCAAAAATCCTGAGAATCCATGTGAATCCGTGCTTTGTAACCATGTTTTTGCGCCATTGCGGCCCCAGGCAACAGTGGGTGCGTGATTCTTTTGGTGCAGGTTGTAGCCATGGACATGCTATGTGATCTGATGGTGAACTTGGGGTGACCCAGTGCAAAAATCCTGAGGATCCATGTGGATCCCTGCTTTGTAACCACCTTTTTGCACCACCGCGGCCCCAGGCAACAATGGGCCAAGAACATAATCAAAGAAAGACTCAGGGACAT